TCAGTCTTCAGTTTCACTTTCTGAGTCAAAGTCTACCTTTACACTGTCTGGAATTAAGTATGCATCTGTCCCTAAACAAGGCTTGACCTTATCTGCTGCTCTTTTGATAGTTTTGTCTGATTTGGGATCACCAAGGATATATGCACCTCCCTCTCGTATCACTACTTCCACTACATATGGTCCTAGCCATTGATAACAAAGTTTACGAAAGGTATACGGATCAAACACTTCTCTCTTTACCCACACTAAACTACCACACTTCACATTCCTGTTTTTAATTTTCACATTTTTCTTTTGTGAGTATGTCTTTACTGCTTTGTCCCGCTGTTCTTTCATACTGTCCTCTGCCAATTCCAAACCTTCCTCGTCTGCCGGAAGATGTGGCATCCTAAACTCTATGTACTTTTTAGGATCTTTGAAGAATGCCCAATAAGGAGTTCCTGTGGTACTGCGTACCCATTCATTTAAGCTCCTGGCACACCAACTCAAATATTTGGGCCACTGATATGCTAACCCTTTTCCTAAAGCACAAATAATGCGTTTAATTGAGCCAGGCACTCTTTCCACCACACCATTGCTCTGAGGCTGGTATGGAGTGATCAAGTGCTGAGTGATCCCTGCCTCCTTGCATAAACTTTCCATCTCTCGGTTTTGGAATTCACACCCATTGTCACTAACAAGCTTCTCTGGACTGCCATATGCTGTCATGTACTTTCTCAGCTTTGCCATCACCTTCCCACCTGATTTCCCTCTCATTGGATAAAGATTTACGTAACAGGAATGATGGTCTACACACGTGAGGATATATCTATAACTGTCTCGACCCTTTTTCATATGTTACATCAATACTCATCCTCTCTAGAGCTCGTGTTATCGGAGGGAAATTACCAACTGACTGTGAAAGAGGTTTCCCAATGCCCAAAAGAAACCGTCTTCACAATCATTTATTGTTTTTATGATACTCAGATGTCCAACCCTTTCATGTGAAAGCTTACATGCTGTAGCTCTTCATTCTTTAGGTACAACTATAATATAGCAGATACTGCCATCATTACACTTTTTGCCATATTACAACAGACCTTCATCTAACTCAAAGTTAGGCAAAACAGTTTTCTTTAGGTTTCCTGCTAAGGGGTCACCTTCTAAGTCATGTATTACTGCCATCCATTTATCATTCTCCCCTTCTTTACTTTTAAATTCTTCTACACTTAAGCCCAAAATATCAGCATTTCCAGTTATTACTTTCACAATAAACACTGGTATCCATAACATATCTGCAGCAAAATTTTGCTTTCCCTTGATGTATTTCATCTTGTAAGTATGTCTGCGCATTTCTAAAATAAATCTGTTCATACGGGCAGACTTGGTCCTTCTGTGAAGAACAGATACAAGATGCTGGTGCTCAGTATAGATTGTGACACCGTTTCCCCATATATAATGTGCAAAATTACGAAAAGACAACACTAATCCTTAAGCCTCTTTACCTGTAGCTCAATAGTTTACCTCTGCCTGCTTTAGTTTTTTCATGAAATAACCAATTACACCTAATTCGTCGTCTGCTTGTACCTGCCTTAGAACTGCTCCAATTGCATAATTGCTGGCATCTGTTGTCATGGTCAGTGGTTTTCCTACATCTGCCTTCACAAGAATAGGTGTTGACATCAGTGCTTCTTTTAGTTTGTGAAAAGCAACCTCGCACTGATCGTTCCAAATAAATTTAGCTTCTTCCTTAGTCAGATTTGTTAAGGGTAATGCTATTTTAGCAAAGTTTTCTATATGACGTCTATAAAAACCTACCATCCCTAACAATCTTTTAACATCCTTCACATTTTGGGGATCTTTCATACCATTTATACCTTCTAGGTTCTTTGGGTCAGGCTGACACCCTTGTTTAGATATTACACTACCCAAAAATCTTACTTCTTTTTGACCAAGGTTACATTTTCTTAAGTTTCGCTTTACGCCTTTTTCTTGATGCTCAAAAAAACTCTCCAACAGAAGTACCAATTCCTCAAATGAGTTTGCAAACACAATCACATCATCTAAGTAGTTTTTGACTCCTCCTTTTTTTATCAAAGGTCCTAAAATTTCTCTCATCTAGCTCATTTACATCTCTTGGCCGTAATGCCGACATTCTATTTTCACTAGCTTCCGCTAATAGGGCTCTAAATGTGTTGGTCATGTTTAACTCATCTGCGGAGTCCTCCATTTCTTTAGAAAATGTTCTTTCAGTCATTTTAGGTAAAGTTCCTGTTTCTTTAGGAGTTGAGGTCACTAACCCCTTTAAGGTATATCCAGATTCTCCGTCTTTCTCTGTATCACTCATTTTGCCAATCTGAGCTAGTAGTCAGATTAGTCATAAACTTCACTATATCTAAACCCTGACAAAATTGATGGTGAAATCAAGCACATACCCTGAAGTCTTTCTACTTCTGTCCCCGTATTTTCAAACACGTAGGTTTCCCATCAACTGTATACTTTAATCTGCAATTACCTAACGACACCACTTCACCTGTACTTTATTGGTATCACTACCTTCATAGCCTAGTTGTTAATATTTACATCTCAAGCCAGAAACACCGCTGTACATCATTTATGTTGGAGGTAATTGCTTGACTTATAATTACACTCCATAAATCTGTTAACATAACCCATTGAATATACCCTCTAGTAGTATGAATATCCTTACTGAAGGTCTATCAAATTTCCTATAGGGGTAATTTTCTATATTACGTCCGCATAACCGATATCGACGATTTTGGTATCGTTGGATTCCTCTCTCTCCACATTGCAAATATATAGTTTTTTATTGCGCGGAACCCCCCGTTAGCGACAAACTTGGCCCCAATAGCAGGGGAGGGCATGGAAGGTTCCAGGGAAAATGCGGGGCTAAATTGCACTTATAATATAACGCACAGTGAAAATAACCATGGTTATTCACATAGCTTTTCCATTGCAGGGGCTGCCGCCCCAAACCCGACGAGGAAACAAAACCTCACACGTATTCCCGACAGGCTAGAGCATTACACAATTATCGTCGATGTCGGAGCGGCGGGCGTAATACAATTACCTCGTAAGATTCTCACTGAATTAACATATTAACCTTATTATAGTCAGCATTATATATAGAGACGATTGTAGTATAATCATGATGAACAGGATGGCCCGCCCTCGTCGGCGGGTTTTGCGCCTCTTTCGATGTTACACCGATGGCCTCAAAGTCGAGTTTCCCTTCCTCTGGAATAACAACATTCGTATTCCTAACCGCAATAACCGTCGCGTTCAGAAGTCAGTCATAGCCACCGCGATGGCCGAGTGTGGAGGGTGCTCGTATTCGGAGACGGATTTCCTGCGCGAAATTGCAACTAGCCAGGAAAAAATGCTAGAGATGTGCTTCCGCCACGGCCTCCTCCGTCGGGAGAAAGCCTGCGGCAGGTACGGGCAGCCAGCACGCCTGGACCTGAAAAAGAAAAGACCTGCCGGACGCACCCTGCCTCCTTCACATTCTGCGGCAAAGGAGCACCCTCCCTACTCCTACTAATTAGTGGCATTAATCTGTTTTAGTACCTTAAAAATCCTAGGTTATTGTAGGTTATCGGCTCCGCATATAGTTCGTGTGCGCTCTATCCTGCCGTGAATACCTGGTGGAGGTTTTGTTTCCTCGGCGGGGGTTGGGTGGCGGTAGCCCCCCCACGGGGGGTCACAGGGAAAGTCATGTGAATAATCATTGTTATTTTCCTTGTGAGGTTATATCATTAGGGTACTTTTAGGTAATTTTCTATATTACCTTCGCCACACTGTTATCGACAATTTTGGTATCGTTGGATTCCTCTCACTCTATACATATTTGGATTGTACAGAGTGAGAGGAATCCAACGATACCAAAATCGTCAAAAATACTATATTACGTCCGCTGCTCCGACATCGTCGCCCCCGATATAGTGCCCAAGTTTGCCGCTAACAGGGGGCTTCCGCGCAATAAAACCTACATATTTGGAATGTGGACAGTGAGAGGAATCCAACGATACCAAAATCATCGTTATCGGTGTGGCGAAGATAATATAGAAAATATCCTAATTTTATATATTACGACCGCCTCTCCTACATCGTCGCCCCCACTATTGGGACCAAGCTTGTCGCTAATGGGGGTTTCCGCGCAATAAAACCTACATATTTGCATTGTATAGAGTGAGAGGCATCCAACAATACCAAAATCGTCGATATCGGTTATGCGGACGTAATATAGAAAATTACCCCTATAGGCATTCTATCAAGGAATTTACGTTGTTTCCACCTTCGTCGGTAAGCCGCCACCAGTAACCATTTTTATAGTCTTAACTATGGGATAATGGTTAACTTAACCTTTTCACTCTTGAAGATAATTTATAGGTAAGACAGCTGGCATGCTTTGGGTCAGAGACACTGGATTCAAGGTCACTTCGGAAGCAATGGCAGGTCCTTCTGGCACTGATCATGCAGTTACTTTTAAGATAAGGCTACATAAACCCTCATGATAATCAACAACCAGATTTATTAGGAATAAGCATGGATCAATGAAGCAAAATATTCCTCCCTTGAATAATACTATTAACTTTTACTTTACCCAAATGTTATGCCCTAATTATTTGCCCAACTTTTCCCACAACCAATAATTGAAGTTTCACTCTTTCCCTGAATCTCTTTACACACATTTCAAAATTATAAATAACAAATTTAATAAACAATCGCAGCATTGCTATTTCCGTCCGAAACACGTTGCAATGACACTAAGAATTTCTGTCTCATTCATCAACATTATCCCTTGATTGTCGTCTCCCCTCCGACCGGTTTTCTCTCCGGCTTGTATACACAAACACTATTTATTCAGTGATAACTTGGGTTACACTTCCCCACTACTGCCTACACAAGCCTTACCAAATGCACGTTTCATCCTCATAAACACACTTCCGTAAATCACACATAATACATCATTCCTAAATCAAATCTTATCCAGTGGCAAGGGAACATGTAATGGCGGACAGGGAGAGCTCGACTGCGCCAGCAAGGAACCTGAACACCCAGATGACAAGCGAAGCTCTCGTTAGATAATCCTTAAACACAACTCCTACTCTTCCTACCATCATATGATATACTTTTAATTACTCAAGATGTCCTAATTCATATTATATACTCCCAAAACTGGCAATAATTCAGAACTCAAAACAACATCACCTAAACGACCAGATGACAAGCGAAGCACTGGTTCGCTTTGTCTCGCAACGCTCCTCCCCTTCATCAGCTCAACCTAAAAACTACGTTCCCAGCAAGCGTCATTGCTCTCTCTCCTGTCTCATTTAACACAAAAATAATTTACAATACTATATCTTATTCAATAAATGGCAACTGATGAAATCATATATGAAAAAGGAATCTTTTACACTATTATTAGATATTTAAGAAGCTCTGATTTTATGACGAGGTGGTTTCATGTACTTACATGATTTTGCCGCCAAATTTAAAATATTAAATTTCCCATTTAACATTAAGAATTACTCAAACTGTCACAATAAGAGTTCATAAGAT